GAGTCCATGAAGCTGAGCAACTCATGTCCGGCACTCTCATCGAGTAGCTTATCGATTTGAGACAGGGGATATCTATCATTGGGACAAGCTTTGTTGAGGTCGGTAAAGTCCACACACATCCTCCATTTGTTCAGCGCCTTCTTCACCAACACTGCATTAGCTAGCCATCCGAGTATTGGACTTCCCAGATGAAACTAGCTCTAAGAAGTTGTTCGACTTCATCGACTGCCGCCTTTTGACATTCTGGGCCGAGATGTCTCTTCTTTTATCGAACAGGCTTAGTGTGCCTGTCGACTGCCAGCTTGTGGCTTATCACTTCGGGGGGAACCCCCGACATATTTTTGGGTCCCCAGGAGAACACATCAGTCTTTGCCTAGAAGAACTCTGTTAATGCTCCTCGTAAGAGCTCGACTAGGCTGGACCCAATCTTGACCGTCTTCAATCCTTCTTGGTCGATTGGTATCTCCTGAAGCTCTTCCACCAGTGTCGTCCTCTGCCACTCTATTGCTTTCTCCAACTGGAGGCAGACTTGCTCAATAGGCAAGGTGTCTTACGTGCCCTTATCCTTGGTTGAGAGTAGTTAGCAGGACCTGGCTTCTCGTTGGTTGCTCCTGGCGACTCCGACTCCATTAGTAGTCAGGAACTTCATCATCTGTTGATAAGTTGAAGGAACAACCTACAGAAGATGAAGGGCGATTTGGCCCAAAATGACATTGTGGGCTGAGTTGAGGTTCATCAACAGGAACTGGAATTGGAAGGTGGTTTGTCTAGGGTACTCTCCAATGGTTAGGGGGAGAGTAATCATCCCTTCTGGCAAAAGAGAGTGGCCAGTGAATCCGATGAGGGGGCCTCTATAGGGGAGCAGATGAGATTTGTTGATGCCCATCTGGTTGAAGGCGTTGACATATAAGATGTCTACCGAGCTCCCTGTATCGACCATGATCCGCTTCACCTGGTAGCCATCGATCACTGCTGTTATGACGATAGGGTCGTCATGAGGTATCTTAATGCCTTACATGTCAGCATCTCCAAAAGATATGGGCTCCTCCGCCTTCATCCTCTTATCATCTTGGTCCACCCGCAATACCCTCTTAGCATATATTTTATGGGCGTTGTTGGACGACGCTCCAGTAGTGGGACCGCCACTGATCATGTTGATAACCCCCTTATGATAGGGCTTCGGGGGTGGCTATCTTGGCATGGTCTAGGACAAGGCGACCGTGACCGGGATCTCCTATTTGCCTTGGCTGGGGTAGCTTCCCTGTGGCCTCTCTGAGAGACGAGATTCTTTATGTACCCTCACTCGATCAAATCTTCAATGTCCCTCTTCAGGATACAGTAGTCATTGGTGAGGTGATCGTGATCCTTGTGATAGAGGAAAAATTGCCTAGTGTCCCGGTTCCTTAGATTCGATCTCATCTGAGGTGCAGGCTCCTTAAGGTGTCCCTCATTTTGAACTATGGCACGAGCATTAATGAGGGAGGTGTTGAAGACTATGAGAGCAGACTTCGGTATCGAGTCCCTCTGTCGGTCTCTCCTGTTAGATCGATTGAAGTGGGAGTTGACTCTCGAAGGGTCTATCGGCCACTCCTTCCTCATAGGGGGGCCTCTGGCCGGTTCTGGCGTCAGCGTCACCACCGGTACTACTGCTGGTGCGGGCGATGCAAGTGGTGGTGGTGCGGGCGCCGCTGAAGTCGTGGTTGTGAAAGTCTCTGCAGCCCTGGCTGACACCTTATGAGCTCGTGCATCCTCCATATCCATGTACCCGTGAGCTTTGGCCATCAGTTGCTCATAATTAAGGACATGCTTCTTGGCAAGCGAGTCGGTTAACTCGTTGCTTTGTAAGCCGGCTACGAGAGTAGACATAGCAACTGCACTCCCTAGGTCGTTGACCTCTAGCCTCTT